CTCCTCCTACTTCTCATGACCATCTCTGAAACTCCTCCTACTTCTCATGAACATCTCTGAAACTCCTCCTACTTCTCTTGACCATCACTAAAACTCCTCCTACTTCTCATGACCATCACTCAAACTCCTCCTACTTCTCATGACCATCACTAAAACTCCTCACCATCACTTAAACTCCTCCTACTTCTCATGCCAAAGAATGCATTCAGGCAGGAAAATACATCAGATTTACTGAAGCAGAGAAATAATACATAGATATAGACATGTTATGGGAACATCTTTACATTTGTCGTGGAAGTTGGGGATTTCTTTGTACATTTTTACGCTTTTCATTTTTATTTTGAAAAGGCTGAACAAACCTTTTTTTGATTTGACAGAACATGTGTAAAACATCCTTAAAGAGGAAATAAATGTACAATAAATCCCATTCAATTTGCAGGTTTTAGCACAACAACCTGCATATTCAACATTTAGTCAAATCAATTTACAGATTAACCGACAATGACATGCTTTCATACTGGAAGTGTAATTGCTACTGCCACAATAATAATAATAATACATTTTATTTATAAAGGCACCTTTCAAGGCTCTCAAGGTCAGCGTACAAGGTACACAATACACAAAACAAAAACAAAACAGAAGTACAAAAATAGACAATATAATCAATCAATAAAAACTGAAAAACAGAGGACGTGTGATGTTATGTGTTCAGGGTGGATATATAGTCTGAAGCCAGTGTGAAGAGATGTGTTTTGAGACGTGTTTTGAAAATGGAGAGACAAGTAGCATCTCTGACTCCTTGATTCTCTGCAGGCTGGCTGCACAAAGAGATGAGGAACAGCAGCAGAGCGTCTCTGAAGCTGAAGAAGCGCTGGTTCCTGCTCACACACAACTCCCTGGACTACTACAAGAGCTCGGAGCGCAACGCCCTGAAACTGGGAACGCTGGTTCTGAACAGCCTGTGCTCCGTGGTGCCGCCCGACGACAAGCTCTTCAAAGAGACCGGTAAGAAACGACAAGAACACCACTTGAATCTGACCAAAGGTGTTACTCTAAAACTCAATTTCACCGCGGGCCACATCAGCTTTAAGGTTGCACTAAAAGGGCCGGTTCTAACTATATAAATATACATATTACAATATATATAAAATAATGTAATATATTACATTATAGCCTCTGAATTTGACTATTATCAGATAGGGTAATAACTTCATAATTAATGTCTGAGAGCAGAAGTCTTGGGCAAATCAGTGCAAGTCTCTTCAGTGCGCATGTCAGAAAACGAGATGCATTGTGGGACATGTAGTTTATTGGCAACGTGCTTCTGTAAAGTGGCATCTAACCGTATAATAAACGTATTATATTCTTTGCAAGCTCTTGCGGGGACCACATAAAATAAAGCGGCGAGCCAGTGCTTCAATCCCCTTTGAACCTTCCTTCAAACGTCAGAAAAGATTCTAATCCTTCCATGTTTTTATTAACTTCACTCGTTCCTTGTCTGTTCCTGGTGTTCTTCCTGCTCTCAGGCTACTGGAGTGTGATCGTGTACGGCCGTAAACACTCGTACCGTCTGTACTCCAAGCTTCTGAACGAGGCCACGCGTTGGGCCAACTCCATCCAGAACGTCATCGACACCAAAGCCCCGATCGACACGCCCACGCAGCAGCTCATCCTGGACATCAAGGTGGGAGCTGTTAGCATTCACAAGCTACATTAGGGAGCTACAGGTTCATTATTGCAGAGAAGGACCATTGATTATTTATAACTTTGTAGACAGCTTCAGACCGCTCACAAAGCTTTGTTTCTTTACCTTGCTACTATATTTCAACTCACAAATCCTGCCAGTAAAGGATCGAATGCACCGGGTCACTAAATAACTGGGATTATTAGTAGCATCTTTTCATAGTTACGTTTCCTTTTTTTGTTGAGAAAGGGTTATTTAACATGCAATATGGTTTAATTGTAGCTTTTCGTAAAGGTTATCTCGTTTTTTAAGTATCATTTCTTGTTTTTTTTAACAACGCCGGTTAGGACTTAGAGAAAACGTATGCTACATGTAAACTATACACAGAAAGATTATAGAATTAGACTCAATTCACATCCCACTAACTCAAACACACCTGCTTCATATACGGTTCAAAGTCATCCTCTCTAACTCATCTTGTCCTCCCTGCTCTCCCTCTGCAGGAGAACTGTCTGAACTCTGAGGTGGTGGAGCAGATCTACAAGAGGAACCCCATCCTGCGCTTCAGCCTCCACCCTCTGCACACGCCCCTGCTGCCGCTGCCCTACGGAGACATTCACCACTCAGGTGAGACCCAGAAATAATTAAAAATACAGGGACAGTCGACTGAGATAGATCTGCAAATATACGTTTATAGAGTGAAGCTGCTGTTCAGGGTGGAACACTCAGGATGTGAGGTTTCTTTTCTTTCCTATTTGAAACTAGGAATTAAAACATTGTAGTTTGTTATTGTTTTATGATATTTTAATAGTGTAGCTATGGCAATGAAAACCTTAGGTCACAGGCTCCTCCAACAGTGCAACATGAATATGTATAGGACACAGTGCAAGAGAATGTTTATATGAGTTAGCATCCAGCAGTTTGTAATTATTGGTGGCCCTTATTGTACATTTCTAACACATAACTTGGGGGTACTGAACATTTAGGGGTTCACAGTGCTGGCAACTTGACTTTATACGGAGCTAAATGAACCCAAATACCTGTACTTTCTACTTCTTACATGTTGAACCCAAATACCTGTACTTTCTACTTCTTACATGTTGAACTCAAATACCTGTACTTTCTACTTCTCACATGTTGAACTCAAATACCTGTACTTTCTACTTCTCTCATTTTCCAAACAGGCTGGTTCCTTTAGTCTGAATGTGTGTTTGGTGGCGTGATCATTATTATTTAGAATCATTGCGTGCCTATTGATTTGAACACGATCCGTGTATCCATCATTTCCTGGTCTTCTCTAAAGAAGAGGGACCAATGAAAACGTTGTCATGTTGCCGTTGTTCAGCATGGAAACATTCATTAGCTAACAATGACATTATTGTTCTATTAATATAAAGGGAGGTCAGGTACTCTTTAAAACAGCTGCTAGTTATGGGTACTTTTTACTGAAGTACATTTCAAAGCTTCTTTACTTTGACTTGAGTAAAGAAGTTTAGTCAGTACTTCTACTTTCTACCAGAGCATTTTTAAACACCAGTATCT